TTTAGTGTCTATGGCTTGCGAACATATGACTTGTTGGGCAAGAATATGACAACTGAAATTATTTATGTGCACAGCAAATTGATGATCGTTGATGATCGAGTTTCTATAATCGGTTCAGCTAACATCAACGACAGAAGTATGCTTGGTGAACGAGATTCGGAGGTGGCAGTCATAGTTGAGGATGTAGAAATGGTCGAGGGAAAGATGAATGATAAAAAATGGAAAGTTGGAAAGTTTTCACATTCCTTAAGATGTCGTCTTCGCAAGGAACATTTAGGGCTTTTGAATACAGAAAATAAAGTTACCAGCTTGAAGAATGTAAAGGATCCTTTGTTGAAATCATTTATTACAGGAATAATGGAACAAGCTAGTTTTAATACGATAACATACGAGAATGTATTTCGTAAAAGAATATTACCGAACAATCAAGTATGGAATTACGAGGATCTAGACAACTGGAAAAACATGCTGGGTCTTATTGATATTGATCAAAAAGGTGCCATGGAGGAGCTGCAATTTATTCGTGGAAATATCGTTACTTTTCCAAGTCTTTTTTTAAAAGATAAACTGAACTCATCAATTGTTGACATATTTAATCTGTATGTATCCACCAAAGGAGAGACGAGGAAAATTCCGAATAACAATCAAGAAATAAATGTTTGATGGAATAATGAATCCAAATTACAGCAAACATATGAGCAGAAGTAAAACAAGAAATACATGTAATTTTACCAGGATTTTACGGAGTTTTTTTTTAAGACAGCTTACCCCCTAGCATATATATATATATAGTGGCCGGAGCTCAGGAGAAAAATCATCACATTATGATAAATATATGCATGTCGTATACTTTGCTTTATAAAATACAAATAAATCTTCATGCACATACACTTTTGGTAAAAGCAAACATTTTGAGGTTGATTGGCTTAGCTTGGTCAAACCTATGTAACGTCTTGTAATTTGGTTTTCTTGCAAAGGTTTCTATGCCTGTATTAAAGCACACTCACACTCACTGAGTGCGACAAAAAACTCACACTCTCTCTAAACTTTGGCAAAGTCCTTTTTTCAACCAAGGCTAGAGTTTTTCTAAAATGTTTCAAATTAAGCAAGCAATTGAATGAAAATGCCGCCTTTAAATAATTATGAGGTGATTTTAAAGCACCACTACGTGAGTGTGAGTGTGAGTAGGCTTTTACAATACGGACGTTATTCAAGTTCGATCTCTTACTTATTTTATTTGAGTGACAATTTCAAAGACACTATAAATGAAAAATAAAACCACAACTCAGAGGACACTTGTATCACTCCCTTGAAATCCGATTGGCGAAAGGGAAAAAATATAAAACGAATCGCAAAGAGCTTTTGTTCATATGCTGAGTAATCACATCTTCTTTAGTCTTTACTCATGATCCTGCAGAGCAGTTGAAAAAGACCGGAGCCCACCAAGAGCGACAAAGACATGCTAATAAAAGCTTTTCATTCGTTCGAAATGTTTGCACACACAACAAAATAAATACTTGCCACCACGTCGCCAGAACGATTTATTCCATAACCTTTTAGATACATGCACCGCATTTGCTTGACGTCAAATACTGGTCGAAATAACACTTGCCTGTATAACCATGTTGGTACAATCATGTTTAAAGCAGTTCTTGCCGTTCTTGACGACATTAGTCTTGCCGCTCCTGGCAGCCATTCTTGTATACACGATGCGGAGTATTTGGACATATCAAAAGCCTCATCGGTATCGATTTGATTCATTCGCACCACTCCGTAATGACAGCAAAGTAAAATGGTTTGTTGATGGCAAAGATTATATGTCTGCCGTTGCTGATGCCATTGAAGCTGCGCACAAGGAAATACTTATTACTGATTGGCAAATGAATCCCTATATCTTTATGAAAAGGCCTGATAATGGCGTCGACAGTCTGAAATGGCGACTGGATAAGATGTTGATGAGGAAAGCTAGCGAAGACGTTAAAGTGTATATTCTACTGTATTGGGAAACGAAGGTAGCACTCGATGTCGGCAGTGATCATACCATTTCAACTTTAAACAAACACCACAATATAGTGGTTTATCGTCATCCACACCGTTTCAACATATTAAAACACTTTTTTACGAAAATACTATGGAGCCATCATGAAAAACTTATTATTATTGACAGGCGGATAGCTTTTGTTGGTGGGATTGATCTTTGTAATGGTCGTTGGGATACTCCATCTCATGAGCTGATGGACGACTATCCGCTTCATCCATGTACTGAGGAACATTGTGAAGATATGGAAGCAGGTAACACATATGAACGATATCGTCGATGGGTTGGCAAAGATTATAAAAACGAATTTTTTTCCGACGGAAGTAAAATTAATTGGGAAAAGCCCAGTGATGATTATGAATATATTAATAGAAGTCAAATTCCTAGAATGCCATGGCATGATGTAGCGTGTGCGTTTACCGGCGATGCGGTCTCGGATGCAGTAAAGCATTTTCGTCAACGATACTATGCTAAACCCAGTTGGTGCACATGGGGTCTTCCAGATTTGCCAATAGAGCTTGATGTATCGGACAGTAAAGTGCTTGATATCGATGACAGCTTATTTACAAAGGTTAACATTCAAGTTCTTCGTTCTGTCGACAATTGGTCAGCTGGGCAACCCCACGAAGCCTCCATTTATAACGCTTATCTTAACGCAATTGAAAATGCAGAGAAATACATTTACATCGAGAATCAGTTTTTTATCTCATCCCAACCAGACGTGGAGAATCAGATTCAATCGGCTTTGGCAAATCGCATTCATCGTGCCTACAAGAATGATGAGGATTTTCACGTGATGATAGTTATGCCTTTGAAACCAGAATTTGGTCCCGAGGATTGGAAATCAAACTGGCCATTAAATGGTTTAAAAAGACTAAGTTACTGGAACTATGCCACTCTTTTTACGGGGAAGCACTCATTAATATATAGACTGAAAGAGTTGAACCCAGACATTTCAGTGAATAGTTATTTTAGCATCTATGGATTACGTACACACGGCTTGCTGGGCAAGAATATGGCAACTGAAATTATTTATGTGCACAGCAAACTGATGATCGTCGATGATAGAGTTTCTATTATCGGTTCAGCTAACATCAACGACAGAAGTATGGTTGGTGGACGAGATTCGGAGGTGGCAGTCATAGTGGAGGATGTAGAAATGGTCGATGGAAAGATGAAGGATAAAGAATGGAAAGTTGGAAAGTTTTCACATTCCTTAAGATGTCGTCTTCACAAGGAACATTTGGGGCTTTTGAACACGGAAAATATAGTAAATAGCTCGAAGAAAGTACAGGATCCTTTGTTGCAATCTTTTATTACAGAAATGTCTCAACAAGCTGATAAAAACACTGAAATTTACGAGAAGGTGTTTGGCAGGAGAATATTGCCACAAAATGAAGTGAGGAATATGGACGACCTCAAAAAATGGATGCAGGAGAAAGGTCTTGTCCACAATGATGAAAAGCTTGCTAACGAAGAACTGAAAAAAATTCATGGACACATCGTTACGTTCCCAGGTCTTTTCTTAATAGATGTACTTAGCTCTTCAATAGTTGACAAGACTGGAGTATATAGAACGGCTGAGTAAACGTGCATGTAAAATTAGCGAAATGCGCGAAAATTCAGCAGATCAATTCTGGCTTGGCACATTCACTAGCTGTTAAGATATGAACATCAAACGAAAAGTCATAAACAACATAGCATTGCATGCATAATTAAGTAGATATGACACATGTCAGATTAAATAATATTCGTACTTGTTATTGTAATATCGTTGTTCGCTGATATTTAACTTGTTGTTTGTTCCACAAAAAAATCATAATAATTTCACGTACAATCCGAATGTTATTGCCGAATCACGAATAATTTAACAGGTTATGGGCCCGGGAGCGTTTGAGTTTCTGTTGATGATAGCAAATAAGGAAAGTATATAAGATATCGCGATATTATAAGAATACATAAGTGCGAAATATTGAATATGTGGACTTTGGGAAATAACGAAGCGTTTACACGGATGGAAAAGATCAACGGCAAGAACTTTCACCTTTGGAAGTTTAAGATGCAGATGATAATTGAAGAGAAGGATCTCTGGCAAATAGTTATCGGCGATGAGGTAGAACCTAATGGTGATAAACCTCAAAGTATGGTCATGAAGGCTAAATCCTGTCATTAATTTGCCTTCGTTTTTATCATACATGTTCAACTAACTTTTCGTTTGCAGAAATTCCTTCATTTGCGTCCGACATTGGACAAGGCGCTTGAAAAGTTACTGCAATCTTCCGAATTTCTCGACGAAGCCAACAAATCGGTGTCCCAATTCTTGCAAACAATTGATTGGAGAGGTGGAGATAACCATTAAGACTTTTCTCCGAAATACGGGTACTTTGTATTTTTATTACCTTTAGGCAAATCTCAATAATAGACGGGAGCATATAGAAACAAGGAATAGATCCAACGCGGTTTGAAAGAGCTTGAAGTCGTGGGGAGGTCGAACGTATAGTGGGAGAGGGGAGGGGAAGTGGACAGGGGTTACTGCTGTAGCATTCTTAAGATTACAAAATCTAAAAACAACACAATACAAAACGTCGAAAGGTTTTTAATTCAAAATGTAAATTCATCATCGTAAAATAAAATATAGAATACGGAGATCAACCGTGATGTATTCACTTACTAATTCTTCCCAAGTAAGGCAGAGTTCAAACTGCATCCTAAAATACTACGGTCCGGCCCAAACTCTGCTCTTCTCTTTGAAGAAGAAGATACAAATGCCATTTTAAACTCTGACGGTATGCTGGCGAACCAGATACATCAAATGGAAACGATCGCTTCCAGTTCCAAATAGCTTTTTATGAAAATTGAAAATCAAGGTCGGCACTGGAAAGATCAACACCGAGTTTTAACGCAACCGCGCTTTTGCACCTATAGAAGTGGCAAAGACAATCCGATTTTTTCAATTTTATCGTGCAATGCAACCTTTTTTTATCAATAACAAAAATAATAATTACCGAAACTTGTCTCCGCACAAAGATATAAAGATACTCTTAGATTCTCTTAATCGTGCTTAAAAATTGCCTTGTTCAAAGCGGGAGTAAAACTCGGCCTGACCTCGCCAGTGATATATCGTATCTCCACCAGTAGCTTCATGGCCATCTCAACAGGCTTATCGAACGACATTCATCCTGCCTAAATAAATCAAAAACAAACTTTTACCTTCTTTTTCCAAAACGCGGTCCTCCCGAGGATTATGAACAAAACCTAGTGGCAAACAAGGACGGCTGATTTCATCGTAAGTTACAGTGCAAGTTCATACGATGATTTGGCAAATGATCTTTTTTTCCTCGGTCCACTCCGATAGGTCAAGAACACTGGCGCAGGAGATGAATACATGCACTTTTCATTCATACAAAAGTTCCGTAAAGCCGTCATAGTTAAAATCGCGCTCTTATATTCCAATCACACAAGGGCTAATGACCTCAGGTACAACTGGGGTCATACGAGTGAACGAATGGAGAAATATGTGAGATTACCAGTGGTATGACTTCGCTTTACCGCGCTACAGACCACGTTTTAAAACCAGGAAACCCTCTGTGTGGAGCTTGTACCATTGCTAAAGCTACGTCCTTCCCATAATAATTACGTGACTTTTTTACCGTGTGCTTCGGACGTAAACAGGTAAGTCTTTGTGACTAAATATTTCACGTTTTTGTATGGTTTTTTTCTGCAGGTTGTCGAAGCACAGAAAAACGAAGTCATGCTAGTAGTAATCTCATATATATCAACCGGAGTTCTTGAAATATAATCCCATCAACAGCATGCCAGCATTATTATGATGTGTTCATAACTATCAGCGTCCATAACATGTAAAGCCAATGTAAATTATAGCATTCACCATGCACAACACTAGAGTTACGACATAACATTGCACCAAAAACAAATTCGAAAAAAAGTAAAATTGGCAGCAATCAATAGTGCAAGTCACGAACCTGTCTTGACGGGAAGTGAAGCACTAATGGTTTAGGCAAATACTTGGCACCAGCGATAAATTAGCGAATGGTTTGAGCCCGGGATTATCGTTGCGCATTTGTAGATGTAGATCGTCCTTGTTAGTAGAGTCTCAAGAAAAACTGTTGGTATTGATGTTGAGTGAGGTTTCCGTAGCGGTAGCCTTCTAAAACTGGGACCATGAAGACTCCGAAGATGACTACCGCTGAGGTTGTCAAAACATCAGTCAAAACTAACACCAACAATCCTTATGAAGAATGTTTTATGCAGTGCGGTGTTTGAAATTAAATGAAGATATGATCTTTGCACTTTGCTGGACAGTTTAAGCAATTGTCTCATGAACCTGAAAAATTCAGGTGACTCAACGGGATGAGACAATTGCTTAAATTGTCAACAAAGTCAATCTTCATTTAATCTAACAATCTTTGTTAAAACTGCACTAACCAGGACGAACTACTTATACAATTATTTTCGGTACTACTTCGTTTTTCTAATTCTTTGGGCGAGGAACTTTTTTCAAAAGTTGTTTACCATTTCATTAGGTGAATGTTGCAGATCTGCTAAACATCCACGGAAAGGGTTCACTGACATAAAACTCTCTCACAACAGTAGACCCGGACTAGATAATCCATTAGCTATATTCCGAAGTCTATAGTAGAAAAATAACATGTACCTTTGAAAGAAATTCCAGCGTCAAATTTTCCTATTTTAATGAACCATTATTTTTCTTCGTAATTTTTTTTCGTTTTCCCGCAAAGTTTAATTCTGCAAAAGATGAATAAATAAAGTGATCAAAACAAGTGTAATGTTATAGGTTTGGCGACTGCAGCAATACATGTTTGCGTGCAATTGCAAGAGAATTCTCGACATCGTTCGATCTGATTGGCTAAAAATTAAAAAATGGGTTTTTCACATCAACTTCATAGGTTCCTGCTTAAATAAAATATAAGGGGATGTTTTTCAAATGAAATGTAGTTTGCTAAGCTTAGTCTAAAACGTAGACGAGCATCAAATTACGATAAATTTCCGAAAACCATTTGCCTTAAATTCTTCGTAATGATAAACACATCGTTGACTGTTGGACAGTCACTGGAGTAACTATCAAAAAATTTTCGGTCACGCTATTGTCATAGGAGCTACGCCCTATGACGTCATGATTTTCAATATGCAAAGAAGTTTAATGTACAAACTTTAATACGCAGACAAACAACGTCAATGTTTCTTAGATGTCGATGTAAAACTTACTGTCTTAGTCTTAGATCTCACCTTTACAAATATTTTAGTTTCCCAGATTTTACATGCAGTTATATTAAGTCCACCCACCATAAAAAAATGACAGATGAAGCAGACGTCGGTATAAATAAAATAATATAAAAGAAACCATTGCTAACTGCGCACTAATGTTTGAGAAACTCGGTCAATAAAACATATCGATAATTAGAACTACAATTACTTACTATGCTGTGACGGTTGAAACAAACTGCAGTCGGTGAATGGATCGCCTTGTCTCAATTTTCTTAAAAAAATAAAACTATTCTTTAAAACAAGAAATACAAAAATATTAAATAACGTGGTCATCAAAAGGAACAAGACGAAACAAAATGAATTTTATCGATTTTAATGAAGGCAGTGGAAATATTACTCCGAATCCACAACAAAACTACGGTAACAAAAAATACTCCCTTTGGTATATCGATAAATTTATTTATAATCCTCTGGCGACTTGTTGCTCAGAAATAAAGTAGTTCTTTGTCTAATCATATACTTAAATACGGCAAAATTGATAAATATGTTTTCTTATATAAAAAAAGAGAACTTTTAAATGACATATATTTAGGCGACAATAAAATTTGGTGTCAGCGCCATTAATCAGAGAAGTATCAGGGGCGGGTTGATGCACATTTGACAGGATGGGTGCAAATTTTCAAAGGGGGGTGCATCGGTGCCCTGGTTAAAGTTGCATAGCACCTCCAGCTATTTTAAATTTTTAGGCTTAAAGATGAGATAACCTTGTGTAATGAAACTGCTATTAACTTTTAAAATAAATTTATATTGTTTTTATTGATGAAAAGCCGTTTTAAGGTGGCTAACTGCAGTTGCGAAGCAAGGGGACTGGTGACGCTTCGCATGCGCATTTTGTGCTCATGTCGAGTGGATTTTTTTACGTAAACGCCTGGCCGCGCTGACTTTATTGAAGATTTTTCGTTTTTCTTTCGGCAAAATTTGTCAAAAGTTCGTGTGGATGTTCATTGCAACAAAAATTACAACATACGCAATATAGAACAAAATCTACAAATAAGTTTTCATGTAACCGAAATTCTCAAATATCATAAAGAAATATTTATAGAATTCTTTCAATGTGAAACATATTCCTTGAATGAATAAAAATCGTCACGCAAATAATGAGAAAAAGTCACCAAAGGAAAAAAAAACTACGGTCAATTCTTTTAAAACTACACAATAAAAGTCTAAAAGAAAATGAGATATGGTTGCCATAGTTATCCTATTTAAGGATCTATCGACTTTACTGGTATTCTTGAATATTCTCACACAGTCATATTTCTAAAGTTTGAGTGTATTTGATCAAAATAATGTTGCAAGTGAAGGCTACCTGAAACACCCGAATTTCAGATGAACTGTAGGAAGCCTGCTTAACTCAAGTAAATTTAATGTATAAACCATAAATCTCAGTTCAGTCAGTTGTACAACTGTAAAATACTTCTTTGCGCAAAGCCAAAGTCATTCATATGCTAAATCTTAAATCACAAATCAGAGGAGGATTTTCAGGAGTGGACTTTAACGAACAAAGCTTTTATATAAAACATAAATAATAATAAAGTTTTGTAAGGTTCATAATAACAAAGTTAGCAATAAGTACGTTGTATATATTAAGTTTGAAAATTTGTAATCCAGGCATTTAATACATAAAAGATAAAAGTTTCTCCGGATTTTAAGTGATTTTTTATTGAGCTTTCGACTTGTTGCTTCGAGCCTTCATCAGAATGAGAATATTTATTAACACGTGCTTTTAGCTTGGAGACGTTTAGAGCGTCTAATTGGATTAGTGGATAGATTAATGTGATTGGATGGGGTGAAATGCGTTGCCATGGGTTTTGGTGTATTGTGAATATGATTGGTGTTAATAGTATTAGAGTGTAGTGTTTTAGTTTTGGTGTTGTTTGTAGTTTTTTGTCCTTTTTCTTTAGTTGTGAGTATATGATGGGTTTGTCGATATGTCTGTTTATTGTGTCGTTGTCTTTACTGTACCAAGCTTCTTTAAATTCGCGTGCTGTTTAGTCTGTGCGCGTCCGAGTACTTTAGTTTCTGTCCAGTCAAATGTGTGGTTGTTTCCGTGGGTATGTTCTGCCGGTAGTGAGTTCGGATCTCGTCGTTTTATGGCGTTTTTGTGTTCTGACGCGATCTACATGATACCATGTAAAGACTGTTCAAAGCAATACATAGGACAAACATCTAAGAAAATTGAAACAAGACTTACAGAACAAGTTAAACAGTTAAACTCATTTCGCAGTTTGTCGTATTAAGACTTGGACTTCATCCCTCCACTTGCAAATGTTTCCCCACTGCCATTTTTTCGGCAAAATTTTCGGCAGTGTTGTAATACGACAAATTTTGTGGCATCGACGCAACGATTACGAAGTCAATCAGAACAGGAAAATCCAAAAAGCATAAATTATGCAGAAATACAACAGTTCAGACGAGACAAACCAGAAAAGGGCAAACATAGTTGACATGACAGACTAACAGTTTTCTTCGCACATGGTAGATGTAAATGAGGTAGTATAAAGTCTTACTGTACAATTTTCTAGCCTAAAATTGTTTCATAATTATACTCTTCAGAGTGTCATGTCATTTTCAAATCTTTCTGGATGGTACTAGAAAATTCTGGGGGATGCTCCCCCCTAATAAAAGTGTTCCTGAAGAGTGCTTAATTTTTATGTTTAACTTCTGCTTGGAAAGTATGCTGACATGCTGGGGTCACCAAATTCTTTTTTGGTACAGTCGATTCTCGCTCGAATCGTGCAGTGAACATGCACGAAAATAAAAATTCCATTTCGGTTTAGTTGTTCAAGTAGCATAGATTGGGCTTGAAAGCGTCGTTAAAGCAATAACCATGGCAAAAATAGGCGGACATATTGAACTGAACACAGGCTCACGATGTGGAGATGTCACGCGGAGAAAAATATTTATTTGAATATCGTTCAAAGTGAGAAATATTTTTGTCTTTATCTATTGAAAAAAGAAACATTACGAACATGTAGAAACGATTGCAAATTTAAGGCTCATTTTATGAGATTCACTAGGGCGAGAACTTCAAATTTCTAAAACCAATATATAGAAATATATGTCAGCTGAATTATGAGATCATTATTATTACTCCCGGCAATTAGATGAAAAGAATGGAGCCCACCAAAAGCGACATTCATGCAAATGCTAATTTAAGCTATTCATGCATGTTAGTTTCAAATAGTTGCAGACATAATCAAGTAAAGGTTACTCAGCAGAAAAATAAACAAATCTAGCTTGTTGTTATAACAGATAAACCACATTATAAGTACTTGTCAAACTAACAATCGTCCGAAAAACCATGCAGGCAAAATCGTTATTTAAGAAATTCTTCAGGGGTTTGATCTTTTTGCTCTTGGCTGTCTTGATGTGGAATTATTGGACAAATCAAGAGTCTGATCGGTATCGATTCAATTCATTCGCTCCACTCCGTAATGACAGCAAAGTGAAATGGTTTGTTGATGGCAAAGATTATATGTCTGCCGTTGCTGATGCCATTGAAGCTGCGCACAAGGAAATACTGATTACTGATTGGCAAATGAATCCCAATATCTTTATGAAAAGGCCTGATAATGGCGTCGACAGTCTGAAATGGCGACTGGATAAGATGTTGATAAGGAAAGCTAGCGAAGACGTTAAAGTGTATATTCTACTTTACTGGGAAACGAAAGTAGCACTTGATCTCGGCAGTGATCATACAATTTCAACTTTAAACAAACACCACAATATAGTGGTTTATCGTCATCCACACCGTTTCAACGTATTAAAACACTTTTTTACGAAAATACTATGGAGCCATCATGAAAAACTTATTATTATTGACAGGCGGATTGCTTTTGTTGGTGGGATTGATCTTTGTAATGGTCGTTGGGATACTCCATCTCATGAACTGATGGACGACTATCCGCTTCATCCATGTACTGAGGAACATTGTGAAAATATGGAAGCAGGTAACACATATGAACGATATCGTCGATGGGTTGGCAAAGATTATAAAAATGAATTTCTTTCAGACAGAAGTAAAATTAATTGGGAAAAGCCCAATGATGATTATGAATATATTAATAGAAGTCAAATTCCTAGAATGCCATGGCATGATGTAGCGTGTGCGTTTACCGGCGATGCGGTCTCGGATGCAGTAAAGCATTTTCGTCAACGATACTATGCTTTGAATCCCAGTTGGTGCACGTGGGGTCTTCAAGATTTGCCAATAGAGCTTGATGTATCGGACAGTAAAGTGCTTGATACTGATGACAGCTTATTCACAAAGGCTAACATTCAAGTTCTTCGTTCTGTTGACAATTGGTCAGCTGGGCAACCCCACGAAGCCTCCATTTATAACGCTTATCTTAACGCAATTGAAAATGCAGAGAAATACATTTACATCGAGAATCAGTTTTTTATCTCATCCCAACCAGACGTGGAGAATCAGATTCAATCGGCTTTGGCGGATCGCATTCATCGTGCCTACAAGAATGGTGAGGATTTTCACGTAATGATAGTTATGCCTTTGAAAACAGAGTTTGGTCCCGAGGATTGGAAATCAAACCGGCCATTAAATGGTTTAAAAAGGCTAAGTTACTGGAACTATGCCACTCTTTTTACGGGGAAGCACTCATTAACATATAGACTGAAAGAGTTGAACCCAGACATTTCAGTGAATAGTTATTTTAGCATCTATGGATTACGAACACACGGCTTGCTGGGCAAGAATATGGCAACTGAAATCATTTATGTACACAGCAAATTGATGATCGTCGATGATAGAGTTTCCATTATCGGTTCAGCTAACATCAACGACAGAAGTATGCTTGGTGGACGAGATTCGGAGATGGCTGTCATAGTTGAGGATGTAGAAATGGTCGAGGGAAAGATGAAGGATAAAGAATGGAAAGTTGGAAAGTTTTCACATTCCTTAAGATGTCGTCTTCTTAAGGAACATTTGGGGCTTTTGAACACGGAAAATATAGTAACTAGCTCGAAGAAAGTACAAGATCCTTTGTTGCAATCATTTATTACAGAAATGTCTCAACAAGCTGATAAAAACAATAAAATTTACGAGAAGGTGTTTGGCAGGAGAATATTGCCACAAAATGAAGTAAGGAATATGGACGACCTCAAAAAATGGATGCAGGAGAAAGGTTTCGTCGACACTGATCAAAAGCTTGCTAACGAAGAACTGAAAAATATTCATGGACACATCGTTACGTTCCCAGGTCTTTTCTTAATAGATGTACTTAGCTCTTCAATAGTTGACAAGACTAGAGTATATAGAACGGCTGAGTAAACGTGCATGTGAAATTAGCGAAATGCGCGAAAATTCAACACATCAATTCCGACTTGGCACATTCACTAGCTGTTAAGATATGAACATCAAACGAAAAGACATAAACAACATAGCATTGCATGCATAATTAAGGAGATATGACACATGTCAGATTAAATGATATTCGTACTTGTTTTTGTAATATCGTTGTTCGCTGATATTTAACTTGTTATTTGTTCCACAATAAAATCATAATGATATTACGTACTTGAGAAAAACGACGATTTTTTTTGAAAGCAAACATGTTTCGACATTATCAGAATGCCATCTTCAGTGCAGAATGGTTAATGTTAAGTAATATGATACGTAATATGATATGAATAAATTAATTACAATGAATAGGATTATGATTTAGTTATAAAATTATAAAATATTTACAAAAAAGGAAAAGAAAAATAAGTATTAAGAACTTATAAAAAAAAATATTATTATAAAGTAAATATAGTGTTGTAGTGGTGAACTTGGATATTTAAATCGGGATTAGTTTTATTAATGTGTAGAGCTTCCTTGATTTTGAGTGAGAAAGTGGATTGATCAGTGTCGATGATTTTAAAACAGGAAGGTGAGAGTTTGTTTTACATGAAGGAGAGGCTTGAAGATGTTTGTAGATAGTGGAGTTTTGTCTGTGTGAGTATGTTCCTTTATCCTGGTAGATAATTGGCGAGAAGTTTCACCAATATAGCGGGAATTATATCCGCACATGAAAATTGATAAACTACCATAGATTTGGAAAGTTCGGGAAGTGGGTCTTTAAACGAAAATAAAGATTTTATTTTAAAAGGTGTGAAAATAAGTTTAACGTCTATGTCAGTGCAGTAGCGTTTAATGATTTGTGTGAGTTTGCGTTGTGTGTGTCGTGAGTAATCACCTATGTAAGGTAGTTTGAAATAACGTTTATTGTCAGGTTGTTGTATATCGTTAGTGTTAGTTGTGGAGTTAGATGAGTCAGTGCTTTTCTTGTTGTCCAAATAGTGTTGTATAGTGTTGTTGATGAAATGAAAAGGAAAAGAATTACGTTGGAGAGTGAATATTAGTTTCTTTAAATCACGTTGAAAGCCGATGTCTGTGTTGTTAAGTTTCCGCGCTCTGTCGGTCAGTGTTCGTATCAGTCCAATTTTGTAATTTAATGGTGTGAAACTAAAAAAGTTAGTCAGTAGTCCTGTATATGTTGGTTTGTGGTACGTAGAGGTCATACAGTTTTCATGTGATTTAGTAAGATGTCAAGAAAGGGTAACTGATTGTCTTGTTCGGTTTCGTATGTAAAGTTTATGCTTTGATGTTGTTTGTTGATGTATTCGTAAAAGAGTAATGCTTCGTCTTTGTTATGAAAAATACAAAAAATGTCGTCAACGTATCTGCGGTAAAATAAAGGTTTGTTGTTGCTGTAGTTATTTAACCAGTTTCGTTCGTGAAAACCCATGAAAATGTTGGCTAGAATGGGTGCCAAGGGTGAGCCCATACTTACCCCGTCAATTTGGTCGTAGTACTTACCGTTAAATAAAAAATGAGTCTCGGCCGTAGTGATGTTAAACAATAGTTTTAGTTCTGTTCTGTTCATTTTGAATGTAGGGTTGTTGGTAAAAATTAAATCCATAGCAATGTCTATGGTTTCGGTCAGTGGTATATTGGTAAAAAGGCTTTCAACGTCAAAAGAAATAAAGAATTTGTCATGTGGAGCGTTAGTATTAAAAGATAAAAAATCATCGACAAAACTAAAAGAATCTTTAGCAGAATGGTCATTAGGTATTAGGGGTTGGAGTAAAGAGCTGAGGTATTTGGCTAATTTGTAGTTATACGAATTGATTGAAGAATTTATAGGTCTGATAGGAGGTATGTCATTGATATTGTTTCATAAATTTAACGCGCAATATGTGTAATGAAAGTGTTACTAACTTTTAAAATAAATTTATGCTGTTTTTATTGATAAAAAGCGGTTTTAAGGAGGCTAACTACAGTTACCAAGCAAGGGGACTGGTGACGCTTCGCATGCGCATATTGTGCTAATGTCAAGTGGATTTTTTTACGTAAACGCCTGGCCGCGCTGACTTTATTGAAGATTTTTTCGTTTCTCCTTCAGTAAATTTTGTCAAAAGTTTGTGTGGATGTTCATTACAACAAATATTATAACATACGCAAAATATACCAAAATCTACAAATAAGATTTCATGTAGCCGAAATTCTCAAATATCAGAAAAAATTATATATAGAATTCGTTCAATGTTAAGCATATTGTTCCTTGAATGAATAACAATTGTCACGCAAAAGTCACCAAACGTAAAAAAACTACGGTCAATTCTTTTAAAACTAGACAATAAAAGTCTAAACGAAAATGAGATATGGTTACCATAACAACACAAACAGTTATCCTATTTAAGGATCTATAGACTTTACTGGCATTCTTGGATATGCCCACACAGTCACATTTCTAAAGTTTGAGTGTGTTTGAACAAAATAATGTTGCAAGTGAAGGCTACCTGAAACACCCGAATTTCAGATGAACTGTAGGAAGCCTTAACTCAAGTAAATTTTATGTATAAATCATAAATCTCAGTTCAGTGTCATCAGCATGTGGAGATGTAGAGATGTCACGCGGAGAAAATATTTAGTCGAATGTCGTTCAAAGTGAGAAATATTTTATCACCGGTGCCAGTGGCGTAGCTAGTCCGCAAGTTTTGGTCCTCGTATGTAAATTTTAGATCATTAACATTATTCATTTCTTTAGAAATCTGTTGTTTTCACATTAAGTAAACACAGAAAAATTAACATAGCAAGGCCAAATTTTCGGACTGGCTAAACCACTGACCGGTGCAAGACAAAGTTGTATTGTAGAAACACGAGTTCAAATATGCAAATGATGCAGTCCTACAATGACATGCTTAAAATGACCACCTTTTCTGAAATTTAAACATACTTGTAGATTGACGGTTCTTTATAACTGGTAAATTCATCAATCGTGCTTCTCCTTTTTGATGTACGTCTTCCAACACACAGAAGAGTGGCAGATGGACAGGTATTGCTGGCAGCAGAATCAGCCGCAAATCGTTTGATTTCACCCTGTAAAGAGAAGATAATACGACGATTTTTATTTAGACACGGTTGCGATGCGACATTTAAGCGCACTTTCGCGACACAGGTTGGTTTGCACGAGAAAACACTGGGACAAGTTTGGCAAACATAATATTTTTAGGTGCTGTAGAAGTCGGCTACAACTTTAATGTTGAGGGTAAGTTGTGATATTTTTTTGATTAACGCAAAGTAAAAAGCCAAATGCTTTGAACTCGGGTGGAAGTAGCGTTGATTGCCCAGTTTTAGTTCGGTCCCAAGAAGGCAGTTGGTGGTGATGTTGGTATTGCTGAGTTCTTGGTGTTAATTGGTGTATCTGACGTTTCGACAGCTTAAGCAGTAGTCATCTTCAGAGTGAAGTTCCAAAGTAACAAACGTACGCAGTACGAGGATAAAACTAAACTCAGCTATAAGTGTCATCAGCATGTTAAATCCTGATGCTTTTGCTCATGCGTACCTTCTGGTGTTGACTCCAAGCGATGTTTGGTGAATTTTTCTTCTTTGATGACGGAGAAATCTGGCGAGGTTGTGATCGGGTTTATGTCGTATGAATCAAGCAGAGAACAATCTGCATCCATATCCGTCTCCTTTGTATCGCCAGAAAAGTCCATGGAATTGACAGATCGTTTGTCCGGCGGAGAGTCAAGAATTAAATGAAAACTTACGTCCGCCAATGAAGTATTGAGAGACTTTTCTCCGAAATACGGGTAATTTTTATTACCTTTAGGCAAATCTCAATAATAGACGGGAGCATATAGAAACAAAGAATAGATCCAACGCGGTTTGAAAGAGCTTGAAGTCGTGGGGAGGTCGAATGTATAGTGGGAGAGGGGAGGGGGAGTGGACAGGGGTTACTGCTGTAGCATTCTTAAGATAACAAAATCTAAAAACAACACAAGACAAAACGTCGAAAGGTTTTTAATTCAAAATGTAAATTATCATCGCAAAATAAAATACGGAATACGGAGATCAACCGTGATGTATTCACTCACTAATTCTTCCCAAGTAAGGCAGAGTTCAAACTGCATCCTTAAATATTACGGTCCGGCCCAAACTCCGCTCTTCTCTTTGAAGAAGAAGATACAAATGCCATTTTAAACTCTGACGGTATGCTGGCGAACCAGATACATCAAATGGAAACGATCGCTTCCAGTTCCAAATAGCTTTTTATGAAAATTGAAAATCAAGGTCGGCACTGGAAAGATCAACACCGAGTTTTAACGCAAGCGCGCTTTTGCACGTATAGAAGTGGCAAAGACAATCCGATTTTTTCAATTTTATCGTGCAATGCAACCTTTTTTTATCAATAACAAAAATAATAATTACCGAAACTTGTCTCCGCACAAAGATATAAAGATACTCTTAGATTCTCTTAATCGTGCTTAAAAATTGCCACATTCAAAGCGGGAGTAAAACTCGGCCTGACCTCGCCAGTGATATATCGTATCTCGACCAATAGCTTCATGGCCATCTCAACAGGCTTAGCGAACGACATTCATCCTGCCTAAATAAATCAAAAACAAACTTTTACCTTCTTTTTCCAAAACGCGGTCCTCCCGAGTATTATGAACAAAACCTAGTGGCAAACAAGGACGGCTGATTTCATCGTAAGTTACAGTGCAAGTTCATACGATGATTTGGCAAAAGATCATTTTTTCCTCGGTCCACTCCGATAGGTCAAGAACACTGGCGCAGGAGATGAATACATGCACTTTTCATTCATACAAAGTTTGGTAAAGCAGTCATAGTTAAAATCGCGCTCTTATATTCCAATCACACAAGGGCTAATGACCTCAGGTACAACTGGGGTCATACGAGTGAACGAATGGAGAAATATGTGAGATTACCAGTAGTATGACTTCGCTTTGCCGCGCTACAGACCACGCTTTAAAACCAGAAAACCCTCTGTGTGGAGCAAACCAAATAAGCAATAAATTATCTTGTACCATTGCTAAAGCTACGTCCTTCCCATGATTCTTATGTGACTTTTTTACCGTGTGCTTCGGACGTAAACAGGTAAGTCTTTGTGACTAAATATTTAACGTTTTCATATGGTTTTTTTCTGCAGGTTGTCGAAGCACAGAAAAACGAAGTCATGCTAGTAGTAATCTCATATATATCAACCGGAGTTCGTGAAATATAATCCCATCAACGGCATGCCAGCATTTTTATGATGTGTTCATAACTATCAGCGTCCATAACATGTAAAGTCAATGTAAATTATAGCATTCACCATGCACAACACTAGAGTTACGACATAACATTACACCAAAAACAAATTCGAAAAAAAGTAAAATTGGCAGCAATCAATAGTGCAAGTCACGAACCTGTCTTGAAGAGAAGTGAAGCACTATTGGTTTAGGCAAATACTTGGCACTAGCGATAAATTAGTGAATGGTTTGAGCCCGGGATTATCGTTGCACATTTGTAGATGTAGATCGTCCTTGTTAGTAGAGTCTCAAGAAAAACTGTTGGTATTGATGTTGAGTGAAGTTTCCGTAGCGGTAGCCTTCTAATACTGGGACCATGAAGACTCCGAAGATAACTACCGCTGAGGTTGTCGAAACATCAGTCAAAACTAACACCAAGAATCCTCGTTAAAACTGCACTAACCAGGACGAACTACTTATACAAATATTTTCGGTACTACTTCGTTTTTCTAATGCTTTGGGTGAAGAATTTTTTTCAAAAGTTGTTTACCATTTCATTAGGTGAATGTTGCAGATCTGCTAAACATCCACGGAAAGGGTTGACTGACATAAAACTCTCTCACAACAGTAGACCAGGACTAGATAATCCATTAGCCATATTCCGAAGTCTATAGTAGAAAAATAACATGTACCTTTGAAAGAAATTCCAGCGTCAAATTTTCCTATTTTAATGAACCATTATTTTTCTTCGTAATTTTTTTTCGTTTTCCCGCAAAGTTTAATTCTGTAAAAGATGAATAAATAAAGTGATCAAAACAAGTGTAATGTTATAGGTTTGACAACTCCAGCAATACATGTTTGCGTGCAATTGCAAGACAATTCTCGACATCGTTCGATCTGATTGGCTAAAAATTAAAAATGGTTTTTTTTCATCAACTTCATAGGTTGTGCTTCTCCTAAGGGGATGTTTTTCAAATGAAATGTAGTTTGCTAAGCTTAGTCTAAAACGTAGACGAGCATCAAATTACGATAAATTTCCGAAAACCATTTGCCTTAAATTCTTCGTAATGATAAACACATCGTTGACTGTTGGACAGCCAGTGGAGTAACTATCAAAAAATTTTCGGTCACGCTATTGATAAAGGAGCCACGCCCTATGATGTCATGATTTTCAATATGCAAGGAAGAAGTTTAATGTACAAAGTTTAATATGCAGACAAACAACGTCAGTGTTTCTTAGATGTCGATGTAAAACTTACTGTCTAATGTCTTAGATCTCACCTTCACAAATATTTTAGTTTCCCAGATTTTACATGCAGCAATATTAAGTCCACCCACCATAAAAAAAATCACAGATGAAGTAGACGTCGGTATAAATAAAATAATAGAAAAGAAACCATTGCTAACTGAGCACTAATGTTTGAGATACTCGGTCAATAAAACATATCAATAATTAGAACTATAATTACTTACTATGCTGTGACGGTTGAAACAAACTGCAGTCGGTGAATGGATCGCCTTGTCTCAATTTTCTTAAAAAAAGTAAAACTATTCTTTAAAACAAGAGATACAAATAAATTAAATAACGTGGTCATCAAAAGGAACAAGGCGAAACAAAATGAATTTTATCGATTTTAATGAAGACAGTGGAAATATTGCTCCGAATCCACAGCAGCACTACGGTAACAAAAAATATTCATTTGGTATATCGATAAACTTATTTATAATCTTCTGGCGACTTGTTCCTCAGAAATAAAATACTTCTTTATCTTATGATATACTTAAATACGGCAAAATTGATAAATATGTTTTCTTATAAAGAACGAGAACTTTTAAACTTGTGGATTGACTGTTCTTTATAACTGGTAAATTCATCAATCGTACTTCTCCTTTTTGATGTACGCCTTCCAACAGACAGAAGAGTAGAAGATGGACTGGTATTGCTGGCAGCAGAATCAGCCGCAAATCGTTTGATTTCGCCCTCTAAAGAGAAGACAATACGACGATTTTTATTTCGATACGGTTGCGATGCGACATTTAAGCGCACTTTCGCGACACAGGTATGTTTGCACGAGAAAAAACTGCGACAAGTTTGGCAATCATAACATTTTCAGGTGCTGTAGAAGTCGGCTACAACTTTAAAGTTTAGTGTAAGTTGTGATATTTTTTTTGATTAACATAAAGTAGCAAGCCGAATGCTTTGAACCCGGTGGGAGTAGCGTTGATTGCTCAGTTATAGTTCGGTCCCAAGAAGGCTGCTAGTGTTGATGTTGGTATTGCTGAGTTCTTGGTGTTGATTGGTGTATCTGACGTTTCGACAGCTTAAGCAGTAGTCATCTTCAGAGTGAAGTTCCAAAGTAACAAACGTACGCAGTACGAGGATAAAACTAAACTCAGCTATAAGTGTCAGCATGTTAAATCCTGATGCTTTTGCACATGTGTACCTTCTGGTGTTAACTCCAAGCGATGTTTGGTGAATTCTTTTTCTTTGATGGCGGAGATATCTGGCGAGGTTGTGATCGGGTTTACGTCGTATGAATCGAGCAGAGAACAATCTGCATCCATATCCGTCTCTTTTGTATCGCCAGAAAAGTCCATGGAACTGACAGACTATTTATCCGGCGGAGAGTGAAAAATTAAATGAAAACTTACGTCCGCCAATGAAGTATAGAGAGGCTCCGAAATCGTACGACGATGGTCGTATGAGCCTTCAAGAGGGGTAGAGGTGCAACAGGTGTATACTTCATCTTGGTGTGACGAAGCTATTTCACTATTGCATAACCTTAAGACGTTAGTCGCGTCAAAATCTCCTTACCGTACTAAAAAAGGAACAGAATTGAAGGAGAAAGAAGTCTGACATGGTGCAGAAACCAGTAGCCCCCTAAAGCTAATCCAAACTAGAATACCCCTCTTCAGTCAAACCGCGTAGGATTTATCCCCAGGTTTCAATATAGTCCCGTCCACTATTAATGAGCTTGCTTATAACTCGGTACCCATATACTACACACACAAAAAATGCGATTTAACTAAAGGTAATAAAAATTGAAAGTACCGTATTTCGGAGAGAAGACTCGATGGTTATCTCCATCTCTCCAATCAATTGTTTGCAAGAATTGGGACACCGATTTGTAGGCTTCGTCGAGAAATTCAGAAGATTGTAGTAACTTTTCAAGCGCCTTGTCTAATGTCGGACGCAAATGCCTACAGAATTTCTGCAAACGAAAAATTAGTTGAACATGTATGATAAAAACGAAGGCGAACTAATGACAGGATTTAGTATTTATGACCATACTTTGACATTTTCCCGCGTCAATATTTGTTGTCTGCTGCTCATCTTTCATGCGCTATAGTTGCGCATCCAGCAAACTGTACTTTTCCATTAACAGGAAATGGTCAGCTTTGGACGAAAAACCTTTCTCTTCAAGTTCTTTGATTCGAGATTTAGCTTTGTCTATTGAAAAAAGAAACATTACGAACATGCCGAACATGTAGAAACGATTACAAACTTAAGGCTCATTTTATGAGATTCACTAGGGCGAGAAACTTCCAATTTCTAAACCTAATATATAGAAATATATGTCAGCTGAATTATGAGATTATTATTATTACACCTGGCAATTAGATGAAAAGAATGCAGCCCACCAAAAGCGACATTCATGCAAATGCTAATTTAAGCTATTCATGCATGTTAGTTTTAAATAGTTGCAGACATAATCAAGTAAAGGTTAGTCACCAACTCAGATAAAAATATACAAATTTAGCTTGTTTGTTGTAACAGATAAACCACATTATAAGTACTTGTCAAACCAACAACTGTCCGAAAAACCATGCCAGCAAAATTTATTTATAAGCAATTCTTCAGCTGTTTGATCATTCCGCTCATGGCCGTAATTGCATACCAGATGTGGAATTATTGGACAAATCACGAGTCTGATCGGTATCGATTCAATTCATTCGCTCCACTCCGTAATGACAGCAAAGTGAGATGGTTTGTTGATGGCAAAGATTATATGTCTGCCGTTGCTGATGCCATTGAAGCTGCACACAAGGAAATACTTATCACTGATTGGCAAATGAATCCCTATATCTTTATGAAAAGGCCTGATAATGGCGTCGACAGTCTTAAATGGCGACTGGATAAGATGTTGATGAGGAAAGCTACCGAAGACGTTAAAGTGTATATTCTACTTTACTGGGAAACGACGCGAGCACTTGATCTCGGCAGTGATCATACAATTTCAACTTTAAACAAACACCCCAATATAGTGGTTTATCGTCATCCAAACTTTTTCAACGTATTAAAAAACATTGGCAATATTACAATACGATGGAGCCATCATGAAAAACTTATTATTATTGACAGGCAGATAGCTTTTGTGGGCGGTATTGATCTTTGCTATGGTCGTTGGGATACTTCATCTCATGAGCTGATGGACGACTATCCGCTTCATCCATGTACTGAGGAACATTGTGAAGATATGAAAGCAGGTAACACATATGAACGATATCGCCGATGGCTTGGCAAAGATTATAAAAACGAATTTTTGTCAGACGGAAGTAAAATTAATTGGGAAAAGCCCAGTGATGATTATGAATATATTAATAGAAGTCAAATTCCTAGGATGCCATGGCATGATGTAGCGTGTGCGTTTACCGGCGATGCGGTCTCGGATGTAGTAAAGCATTTTCGTCAACGATACTATGCTTTGAATCCCAGTTGGTGCACATCGGGTCTTCAAGATTTGCCAATAGAGCTTGATGTATCGGACAGTAAAGTGCTTGATACTGATGACAGCTTATTCACAAAGGTTAACATTCAAGTTCTTCGTTCTGTTGACAATTGGTCAGCTGGGCAACCCCACGAAGCCTCCATTTATAACGCTTATCTTAACGCAATTGAAAATGCAGAGAAATACATTTACCTCGAGAATCAGTTTTTTATCTCATCGCAACCAGACGTGGAGAATCAGATTCAATCGGCTTTGGCGAATCGCATTCATCGTGCCTACAAGAATGGTGAGGATTTTCACGTGATGATAGTTATGCCTTTGAAACCAGAGTTTGGTCCCGAGGATTGGAAATCAAACCGGCCATTAAATGGTTTAAAAAGACTAAGTTACTGGAACTATGCCACTCTTTTTACGGGGAAGCACTCATTAACATATAGGCTGAAAGAGTTGAACCCAGATATTTCAGTGAATAGTTATTTTAGCATCTATGGATTACGAACACACGGCTTGCTGGGCAAGAATATGGTAACTGAAATCATTTATGTGCACAGCAAATTGATGATCGTTGATGATCGAGTTTCTATTATCGGTTCCGCTAACATCAACGACAGAAGTATGCTTGGTGGACGAGATTCGGAGGTGGCTGTCATAGTTGAGGATGTAGAAATGGTCGATGGAAAGATGAAGGATAAAGAATGGAAAGTTGGAAAGTTTTCACATTCCTTAAGATGTCGTCTTCTTAAGGAGCATTTGGGGCTTTTGAACACGGAAAATTCAGTAAATAGCTCGAAGAAAGTACAGGATCCTTTGTTGCAATCTTTTATTACAGAAATGTCTCAACAAGCTGATACAAACACTGAAATTTACGAGAAGGTGTTTGGCAGGAGAATATTGCCAAAAAATGAAGTGAGGAATATGGACGACCTCAAAAAATGGATGCAGGAGAAAGGTCTTGTCCACAATGATGAAAAGCTTGCTAACGAAGAACTGAAAAATATTCATGGACACATCGTTACGTTCCCAGGTCTTTTCTTAATAGATGTACTTAGCTCTTCAATAGTTGACAAGGCGGGAGTATATTATAGAACGGCTGAGTAAACGTGCATGTAAAATTAGCGAAATGCACGAAAATACAACAGATCAATTCCGGCTTGGCACATTCACTAGCTGTTAAGATATGAACATCAAACGAAAAGACATAAGCAACATAGCATTGCATGCATAATTAAATAGATATGACATATGTCAGATTAAATAATATTCGTACTTGTTATTGTAATATCGTTGTTCGATATATCGTTGTCCAATATCGAACAACGATATTGTTATTGTAATATCGATATTTAACTTGTTGTTTGTTCCACAAAAAATCATAATAATTTCACGTACAATCCGAATGTTATTGCCGAATCACGAATAAATTAACAGATTATGGGCCCAGGAGCGTTTGATTTTCTGTTGATGATAGCAAATAAGGAAAGTATATGAGATATTGCGATTTTATGAGAATATAACTTACATAAGTGCGAAATATTGAATATGGCCTTTGGGAAATGTTAAAGCGTTTACAAGGATGGAAAAGTTCAACGGCAAGAACTTTCACCTTTGGAAGTTTAAGATGCAGATGATAATTGAAGAGAAGGATCTCTAGTAAATAGATGAAGGATATTGTAAGTCAATTAGAAGCATTAAGTGAACATCTCAACAAGATGAAGGATATTGCAAGTCAATTAGAAGCATTGGGTGCGTCTGTTTCTGAGGAAGATCAAGTGGCGACATCCCTTTGTAGTTAAGTCATACAATGGCTTAATAACAGCATTGGAATCTAGAGCAGATGACTTATCATTAGAATTCGTTACTGCTAGACTTCTTTATGAAGAACAGAAACGTAAGGAATCGAACGAAAGTAAGGATATTGGTGAGAAAGCACTATTATGTCAAAAGTCCAAGAACGACAAAGTAAAGAATATCAAATTCAAAAGGAAAGGTAAATGCCGTAACTGTGGGTTACCCGGGCATTAGGCTAGAGAATGTCTCAAACCCAAACAGAATCAGCAAAATGACAATAGAAATAAAAGGGAAGAAGCATTCTACGGAGCCACAGTTCAAAATTCATCATTTTTTACAGATAACAAAGAATCTGCATGGTACATTGATTCAGGTGCATCATCTCATATGTCATACAATAAGGACATCATGGTTGATTTCATGTCATTCAAATCCCCTGAAAAGGTAAAGCTAGGAGATGACAGAATAGTTCAAGTACTGGGAAAAGGAAATGTACACATTGAGATTAAGTCTAAGAAGAAGTATGAACCAAGAAGATTGGTTGATGGGAAGATTGATATGTTCCAGATTTAGGAAAATCTCTTCTCAGTTAGTGCTACGGCAAAACGACGATACTCAGTTGAATTAAATCAACACACTTGCTTGATACTTGATCAAAACGGAACTATATCTGGATCAGGAAGAATGATGAATAACTTATATGTTCTTGATGTTAAAGAAGAACAGGATGATTCAAATCTTGCGAATGTTTCTATAAGTGATACTAGCGAAGAAATATGGCATCAATGGTGACCAATGTCACTAACAAGAAAATTAAAGTACTTCGATCAGACAACGGTGGTGAGTACACTTGTCTCATGTTTGAAAAATATCTAAAGGATAAGGGAATTCAGCATCAGCTTAGTGTTCTAAGAACGCCACAGCAGAATGGAGTTTCTGAAAGAATGAACAGAAGCATTCAAGAAGCTGCACGATCTATGCTGAACAACGCAAAACTACAAAAGAAATTCTGGGCTGAAGCAGTTCATACTGCAGTCATCTTAAGAAATCGAAATCCTACTGTATCCGTAAATGGAGTTACACCTTACGAATGTTTCCATTCTAAGAAACCTAATGTTTCGCATCTGGGAATTTTTGGTTGCACAGCTTACATGCACGTTCCTAAGGAAACAAGGAAGAAATGTGACCCCAAAACCAAGAAATACTCATTTGTTAGGTATAGGTTATCAAGTCAAGGTTATCGACTCTACGACGCTGCAAATGGTAAAATTCACATATCAAGAGACGTGTTATTTGACGAAAGCTCATTTGATCGACGAAATAAATCTACCATAGTCAAAAATAGAAATAATGAAGATACCGTGACCGTAAAACTGAATGATAAACAATTAGAAGACAATGATCAACATGAACTCAATGAAGAAATGGATGATAGTTGCAACAACAATAAGATAGATGAACAACAACAATCACGACGATCAGCACGAATACACAAATCTCCCGTAGACATGGTGTGGTGATCACAGGTAATTGGTGGCAGAACAATGTGGCTAGCATTGACGATGAATCTATCCGTCACGATGAACCACTCAATATTAATGAAGCTTTTGATAGTCCAGAAAAGGCGAAATGGAAACAAGCAATGGACAGTGAATATTCTTCCCACATAAAAAACAATACGTAGACATTGGTTGATTTACCTAAAGATCGTAAAGCCATAGATTCTCGATGGATATTCAAAGTAAAGTACAAAGCAGACGGCTCAATTGAACGGCATAAAGCTCGATTAGTTGCTAAAGGATACTTACAAGAAAATGGCTTAGATTATGAAGAAACATTTTCTCTGGTAGCAAAATATACAACAATTCGCTCTCTCTTGGCAATTGCTAATCAGTTAGATTTGGAAGTACACCAAATGGATGTGTCGAAGGCATTTCTGAACGGTGAACTTAAAGAGGAAATTTATATTAAGCAACCTGAAGGATATGAGAAAAAAGACAAGAACAGAAGGTCTGTAAATTAAACAAAAGCATGTATATGGCTTGAAGCTATCTTCGAGATGCTGTTTCCATACCATTGACCAGTTCTTAAAGAAATCCGGTTACGTTCAATCCAATTCAGATCCGTGCCTGTACATTAAACGAAAGGGAGATAATATCATGTTTTTAGCGTTATACGTCGATGATTTGATTCTTTCAAGTAACAACAAGAAAATGCTAGAAGAGGAGAAAGGTATTTTAAAGAAACGCTTTGAAATGAAAGATCGAGGTGAAATTCATTTCTGTCTTGGCATTCAAATTCAACAAGAGAGGGAAAAGAAAGAGATGCGACTTCATTAATCAAAGTATTTGACAAATTTATTGAAGAAATATGGAATGCAAGACTGCAAACCTGTTGCAACTCCCGTTGAGCTAGGAACCAAGTTTTTGAATAATGAAGGGGATCCAATGAACACAACCAAATATCAAGCATTAACTGGTGCATTAACGTATGCAGTTACAGCGACAAGACTAGACATGCACAAGCACTTTCAACAATTAATCAATTCTTTGCTAACCCTAGCCAAGACCATTGGAATGCTGCCAAACGTATTTACGTTACATTTAAAGTACGATTAACTACGGCATTTGCTTTGATGGACATAAGGAATCTGAAGTCAAATTAAGTGGATTTGTTGATGCTGATTGGGGATGTGATCCAAATAATCGAAAATCACATTCAGAATACCTATTCATGATTTGTGGTGGATTGGTAAGTTGGGCAAGCAAAAAGCAAAGCAAAGTATTTTAGCTCTCTCATCTACTGAAGCTGAGTATGTTGCACACTCACAAGCATGTCAAGAAGCAATATGGTTAAGACGATTACTACGTGATTTAAACTTCACTCAAAAGGAACCAACTATCATAAAAGAGGATAATCAAGGAGCAATAATTTTGTCGAAAAATCAGAAATACCATCCAAGAACGACATAAAATATCAAACAAATCGACATAAAATATCATTTCATTCGAGACAAAGTACTGAAAAAAGAAATTGCACTTGAGTATTGTACGTCACAACAAATAGTTGCTGTTATGTACGGGCTCATGAGAACAGCCCCTAAGCCAGCCAACCAGTAAGTTGTGGGGAGGTCGAATGTATAGTGGGGGAGGGGAGGGGGAATGGACAGGGGGTTACTGCTGTAGCATTCTTAAGATTACAAAATCTAAAAACAACACAAGACAAAACGTCGAAAGGTTTTTAATTCAAAATGTAAATTCATCATCGTAAAATAAAATACGGAAAACGGAGATCAACCGTGATGTATTCACTCACTAATTCTTCCCAAGTAAGGCAGAGTTCAAACTGCATCCTAAAATATCATGGTCCGGCCCAAACTCCGCTCTTCTCTTTACAGAAAAAGATACGAATGCCATTTTAAACTCTGACAGTATGCTGGCGAACCAGATACATCAAATGGAAACGATCGCTTCCAGTTCCAAATAGCTTTTTATGAAAATTGAAAATCAAGGTCGGCACTGGAAAGATCAACACCAAGTTTTAACTAAACCGCGCTTTTGCACGTATAGAAGTGGCAAAGACAGTCCGATTTTTTATATTATATCGCGCAATGCAACGTTTTTTATCAATAACGAAAATAATAATTACCGAAACTTGTCTCCGCACAAAGATATAAAGATACTCTTAGATTCTCTTAATCGTGCTTAAAAATTGCCTTGTTCAAAGCGGGAGTAAAACTCGGGCTGACTCGCCAGTGATATATCGTATCTCGACCAGTAGCTTCATGACCATCTCAAACAGGCTTGTTGAACGACATTCATCCTGCCTAAATAAATCAAATCAAACTTTTACCCTTCTTTTTCCAAAACGCGGTCCTCCCGAGGATTATGAACAAAACCTAGTGGCAAACAAGGACGGCTGATTTCATCGTAAGTTACAGTGCAAGTTCATACGATGATTTGGCAAATGATCTTTTTTTCCTCGGTCCTCTCCGATAGGTTAAGAACACTGGCGTAGGAGATCAATACATGCACTTTTCATTCATACAAAGTTTGGTAAAGCAGTCATAGTTAAAATCGCGCTCTTATGTTCCAATCACACAAAGGCTAATGACCTCAGGTACAACTGGGGTCATACGAGTGAACGAATGAAGAAATATGTGAGATTACCAGTGGTATGACTTCGCTTTACCGCGCTACAGACCACGCTTCAAAACCAGGAAACCCTCTGTGTGGAGCAAACCAAATAAGCAATAAATGATCTTGTACCATTGCTAAAGCTACGTCCTTCCCATGATGCTTATGTTACTTTTTTACCGTGTGCTTCGGACGTAAACAGGTGAGTCTTTGTGACTAAATATTTCACGTTTTAATATGGTTTTAGTAGTATAAGACATGGGGGTATCGGCGCAAAATAAGACCATGGTTCAAAGGCGTCCCCCCGCAAAAGGTCATGTTAACAAAGCCGTGCAAAAAAAGTCATTGTTTTAAAGTAGTGGGAAAAAGGCCGTGTTTTCAAAGGCGTCCCCTCGCAAAAGGCCATGTAAACAAAACTGCGCAAAAAGTCATTGTTTTTAAAGGGAGTACAAATCTAGAGTTTACAATCTATCGTTTAAAAAATATGGAATCTATATGTTTTTGAAATATATAGGTGCGTTTTAATTTTACAAACAGTCTTTACAAACATTTGTTAATAAAGCATCGGTTCGGAGGGGGCTCGGCATCGCAGAGGATAATGTAATATTACGTAGTAATATTACTCAGATCCTCGAGAAGGGGGATGGAGCCCCCGAGAATCGTGCGAGCCTGGTGGGTAAAAAATTCTAGCTTTAGCTAGAATTTTCGGCTCGCCCCCATGGTGTCCGAAGGACGACAGACATAAAATATGCTCTTTACAAAATATGGAATCTATATGTTTTAAAAACTATCTTTACAAATAAATGTTAAGAAAGCATCGTTTCGGAGGAAATTCGGCAGCACAGAGCATGATGTGAATATTACGAAGTAATATTTACTCCATGCTCGAGCAGGGGAATGGAATTTCCGAGAATCCTAAGACCCCGGTGGGGAAAATTTTCACGAAGTGAAAATTCGGGGTCTAAAGTGGCATTCGATGAATTCGAGAATAACAGAGGCTTAATATATGCTCTTTAAAATCAATTGTTAATAAAGCATAGTTTTAAATTAATTTTCCGTCAAGCGCGTGTCTTAGTACATGTTTAACAATGGTTGCTTAATGGAGCTAGTACATTTCATCAGCGTATGTACAATAATACAATGTTTTACAAAACTATGGAATCTATATGTTTTTTAATTTGTCTGTCAAGCGCGTGTCTTAGTACATGTTTAACAATGGTTGCTTAATGGAGCTAGTACATTTCATCAGCGCATGTATAATAATACAATGTTTTACAAAACTATGGAATCTATATGTTTTTAATTTGTCTGTCAAGCGCGTGTCTTAGTACATGTTTAACAATGGTTGCTTAATGGAGCTAGTACATTTCATCAGCGCATGTATAATAATACAATGTTTTACAAAACTATGGAATCTATATGTTTTAATTTGTCTGTCAAGCGCGTGTCTTAGTACATGTTTAACAATGGTTGCTTAATGGAGCTAGTACATTTCATCAGCGCATGTATAATAATACAATGTTTTACAAAACTATGGAATCTATATGTTTTTTAATTTGTCTGTCAAGCGCGTGTCTTAGTACATGTTTAACAATGGTTGCTTAATGGAGCTAGTACATTTCATCAGCGCATTTTAATAATATAATGTTTTATATAATTTTTGTTAAAAGTGTTTTTTACTAATTGTTTTAAGGATTTTGAATTTTTTTGTATATCGCTTTTGTATTAATTACTTATTACAAACAGTTATGTGATATGTAGTCAAACATGAGGATTATTCTTCATCTTAAGTTTTAGCTTGATAGTTGTCTTTAATAAATTTTTTTAATTTTTCGATTTCATCATTTGCAAATTTTTTAGTTGATAGAATATTATCTTCTATAGTAGCCCTAAAATTTTGTGAAAAACCATTATATGTTAACATCAATGTAGATTGATGTTGTGAATAAACTTGCATTTTGGTTAATCCATTTAATGTTGTCAGCCATTTTCTTTTCCATTCGTCATAATCAATTGAAACTGTAGATTTTTTTGGTTCAATAATAATATAAATATAGTTTAAATCATCATCAACACAGTATACGTGATATAAATCTAGTAATGCATTAACTATCTTTTTTTCATTATCATTTGTTAGTTTAATGATAAATTTTTTTTTAATCTTATCTGCCATCATATCTAATTCAATTGTTTTAGAGTTATCAGACGGATTTATTAATAAAAGTGTAAATTCAATAAATTTAATATTATTAAAAATAATTCTGATAGTATCTTGTCGGCTATTAAAATTTGTATAATTTAATTGATTGCTATGGTATACTACTTTACCATTTACTCTGCTATCAATCTCATTCTTTGTATAATAGTTAGTTAAATTAGAAGTTAAAGCATACTTACCATCAGCTTGTGTTTTAGTATAATAGTTAGTTAAATTAGAAGTCAAAGCATACTTACCATCAGCTTGTGTTTTAGTATAATAGTTATTTAAATTAGAAGTCAAAGCATACTTACCATCAGCTTGTGTTTTAGTATAATAGTTATTTAAATTAGAAGTCAAAGCATACTTACCATCAGCTTGTGTTTTAGTATAATAGTTATTTAAATTAGAAGTCAAAGCATACTTACCATCTGTTTCACTCTTTGTATAATATTTATTTAAATTAGAACTTAAAGCATACTTACCATTTGTTTCATTCTTTGTATAATAGTTGGCTAATCTTGAAACAAAAACATATTTATTATCAGCTTGCATTTTAGTATAATATTTTAGTAAATTAGAAGTCAAAGCATACTTACCATCAGCTTGTGTTTTAGTATAGTAGTCATTAAATTTACCATCAGCTTGAGTTTTAGTATAATAATTATCTGATAGATGTGTTTTATCTACAAATCCTTGTATATTTAAATTAATATCTGTTTTATCATGCCCATAAAATAAGCTCATTTATATTATTCCTCAGATTTTATATCCTGTTTATTATTTTTATGTTCGTAAACATGTTTAACGGTTGTTATACCACCAGATAAAACCCTAAAAGGGTAATAATGGTGATACTTTTCTACTAAACTGTACACATCTCGTTTTAAAAGGTCGTCTGATTTAAGCTGTTTTGTTAATTCTTTAGGATCTTCAATAGCATCAAACCCTTTTAATATATCTGAAAATTTTGATATAACTAAATCAGTTAAAACTCATTAGCTTTTTGTAATCGTTTTTCTCGTATTCAGTGTATAATTTATCAATAATTTTTTGACTAGCTTTTTTAATGTAAGCAACTGACTTGTCTAAATCACCCTCTTCAGCTAGTTTAAGTAGTTGATCTCTTTTATTAAAACCCTCTTGCGGTTTATCTTGTATATTTTCATCACATACCGCGTCTTTGATAATATCATTTGTGGAATCAATCTCATTAATTATATCATCAATTGTTTCAGGCTCTTTACGCTTTGGCATATATATATTAACACATGTTTTATTGCGGAATAACTATTTTCCATTGGTATGGGTATACACATTGAACTTTTAAATATGCATACTTATTATTTTTCAATTTTTTGATTATTTCTTCTATATCATCTTTTTCAACACCATAAAGATAATCATCAAATATGGTTTTCATATCATTGCGGTTTGTATTATAAAATGTAACTAAATAACTTATATTTTCGCGATAAGGTTTAGAAATACTAGTCAATTGCTGTGTAACCACAATAGTAGAAAGCCCATAATGACGAGCACTAAACCCTAATTTTATTAATTGCGATGTCCTATTTTTAACATCTAAGCAACTTGCACAGTCATCAAGTATAATAAGACTATTGGTGCCTTTATATACATCACTAACATATTTTAAAACAATATCTACCTGATCTTGGTCACATTCTACCTTAATTAAATCAGAATCATTTATATATTTCCATTCTTGATAGGTTTTATTATATGATAGCGTTGGACATAATAAAATAATATAATCAAAATGTCTATTAAAGTTTTCTTCTAACATTTTGAGAAGGTAATAACTTTTACCACAATTTGTCATGCCTAAAATAATCATATTAAAAGGTGTATTCATTTATATATTACTGGTTATTTTAGTATTGAATACTTTGTAAATCATTATTAACAAATTGAACAAGAGCATCACTAACAACATAGATGTAACAGTTTAAATCTTTTGTATATGCTCTTTTTTTAATCTCTAGTAAAACACCATTTTGAGTATTAACGATTCGTTTACCGTTACCAGCAATATTTTTTTCTTGAAAGGTGCGTAGATCGATAACCAGTGAAAATTTATCCTTATAAAATTTTTCAATTGTCATGAAGCAATCTATCGGAATAGTTCTATCAAAAAATTTTCTTGTTTCTTCATAAAATTGTTTTTTATTCATACCTTGGGCGAAAATCACATTAGGCACCCCCTCGACCGTTATTTTCACTTCATCGATGAGTGGGTAAGGAAATTTTTCACTATCACTAACTGAATTTTCTGTAAATAGTAGTACAATGCCTTTCATACTTTTACGAGGCACATTGACGTTAACATTCTGTAATGTACTTGATTTATCCCATTTTTCCTTTTTTAAGAGGGTTATATCTTCATAAAATAGACTCCTTCCTATAGAATATAGATTTGTCACCTCATCAGCAATTTCTTGATTTTCAATAGTTTCATATTCTAGCTGAATATTTTCTAATTCATAATCACCGATAGTTTGACCGCTTTGAGCGATAAGAACTTGATCACTCGGGGGTAATGTAATTATGTATTGAGGGTTATTATTCATATTGAAAGGACAATAAAGCCCATGATCCTTAATAATATTATCAATATTAATTTTCTGTCTTGTACCATAAATATCATACATTAATTTGTCTGACACTTTTTGAGAATCTCCACTTGTTTCACCACTATCATCCTTGGAAATGAGTTTTCTTAGATTTTGGTTGGCTATACCATATTCAATAAGACTTTGTCGATCACTTTTCGGCAACCACAAGTCTTTGTATATACTTATAATATCATGATTATTACAGTTGTATAATGTCTCACCAGCAACTTTAATTTGTAGTCTATTTTGTAAAATCTGACTGAGATTATTTAGAAAGTGGCTTTTTGTATTACTGATTTTAAGATCAAACGATAGATTAACTGAACCAGGGACTAAACAACTATTTGGTTTTAATTTTGGTATATTAACATAAATTTGTTCATTCGGTTTAACATTATTAGGGTTAAAGGTTATACTATAAAAAGTACGGTTACCTTTAATTTTTGTCATAGTACTCCTTTTATAACCGGGTAAAAGCTCTTCTTGTAATCTGTTCATATATATATTAAAACTTTTTTTATTTTTTTCTTTGTTTATACTGGTCATATATTAACAAAGCAGCAGCAATAGCTAAAACCCAAAGATTAGAAGCTACCCATGCTAGACCTTTAGCTCCCCAAGATATAGCCTGAGCGATAATATTCAATAATGGTCCTAATACTGGCCATAATTTTTTACCTATATTTGCTAAAGCCTTAGAAAATTTACT